GCTCTTTGTCAAATTCTGCAGCTCGTCCACTTCGAGGCCTTTCTTCAAGGTCAAAGTCGCCATTTTTAAACTTTGCGAACGATTTTTATGCAGTAGACACCTTTCCCGTTCACACTGTTGTCCGAAGCGGCTTCGGCTGCTTTTTGACCTCGATGAAAAGCAAAANAAAAAAACAAATAAAACAGTTTTGTAGAGGAGAAAGAGCTCTTTCGAATGAATGTATACACTTTGCTTAAAAACGAAACAAGTCTTTGTAAAATAACTCTAACGCAAAACTCTATGAACTTATGTTACAACCCAATAGTTGCCTGATTTGCCTTATTAGCTCGTTTTGATTATTTTTTTCCGATTTCTTTCTGTTTTCGTGCCCTGTAGCTGATAAACTTACTAACGGCATTATAAAAAAAATAAGCCCCACAAAAACAAACAAACCATACCCAGCCGCCCATCGCAAATCTGGCTGACAAATTGCGCGCTTCGATCACCCATCCCATTTGTGCGACAAGCGGCGAACGCAGCTAGCGTGACCCGATTTTCGGGGAGAAGTACCCACACCCAGGTGAAGTGCACGGCTGGTCCTTCATTCCACCACTTTGTAAACGGGATTTTCTCAAATACGTGAGCACTGCAAATTCGATACGAAGCGGATACTCTTACCGCTTTACGGTATGCGGCATCTCCACCTTTAATTTTGACAGTGGCCATCGATCGAAAATTCAATGCCTTCCATTACAGGCGTTCCGACCTTCCTGAAAATGGGCACACTTGCCAGCACCTTCAATGATACTTACTAATTTGTCTAATGATGATAACAACACTATCAGAAGCTGATATTCACAGCTTTTCCTATGTTCACGAATGTAAAACATCTGCCAATTCTCTCAAATCAATGGCGGGCAGATAGGTGCTTTGACAACTGATAGAGAATGGGCAGGATGCAATGTAATAGCGAGGAAAAACCTAATTTAGAACCTCCTCTTGGTTTGTGATGGGGAATTATAATACTTGATAGAAACCGTTTAAAGGCACTGTTCACGAAAAAATGGTTTCGGAGATTTGCACATGGTTTGAATTCGAAGCCCCCTCTGATACCATTTGTGCAGGAATGAGGTCGGAAAACGGCTGGATAGGGCACAATAAGGGCAGGAACAGTGTGGGACGTCAGGCCTCCGCCCCTCGCTAGGCTGACTACGAGTTCAAATTGTCCTTCACCACATTCGCACTGGAGCGAAGTTGGTGAAAAATCGATACGCTGATTGGCAAATTGCCAGGAATGGTCAGCGGGTCGACAGCCTCGTACAGGAGCTAGTATTCAGCTGTTATTTCTATTATTCTACTATTATCCTGCGCTATTCTCTTCTGAGTATTCCCTGCCTGCCGTCGTCGAATGAATGAGGTAAGTATTTCAGGGAGATAATAATAGCAGGGAGAAATCCGATCAGCTGTTTGGGTGTGTTGTCTGTATTGCAGACATTGCGTCGCCTTCGTGCATTCTCGCCCGAACACTCCCTAACCGCCGTTATTTCAATGTGAGACTAGTCCAACCCCCTTTCCAGCTCTTTTTTTGACCTTCCTATTTCTTTTTGTTCATCGTTTTTTGCGCTTTTTTCGTTGTTATCGCTTTATTCTAGAGTAGTTCTATCAATTCCCGTCAAAAAAGGGTACCCTAACTTTTTTGTGAACGGTGCCTATAACCGCAAAGGGTGGAAAACACCGTGTTGGCTAGGCCATCCCTGTCAGCAGTGGAGCCGTGACGTGATGTGGTGATTTAAAGGCACAGTTAAAAATGGTTTCTGAGATTCCCCCATAGGACGAATCCGAGGTCCCCTAGTATACCATATCTGGCGCTATTGAGTCAGAAAACGGCCTAGCTAGGGAGTTGTAAAGGCCAAAAAATTGCACCGTGTGTATCCTTTTACAAGTTTCACCGGCACTGTAGAGGCTGCACCGATCTCCATATAGGAAGTTCAAACAATTGTCATAACCCATAGCGACCGTGAGAGGCAGTTATGTACAGTTCTACCTTGATGTAGTTAACTCTTTACGCAATTGCAACAACTGAAATCTCGTCCGAACACCCTCTGTTTCCGTCGTGGTAATCTCGTCCAAACTCTGTTTTCCTCACTTTTAATAAGCCTTATTTTTTTCGAAATCGGCGAATTTTCCCGCTTTCTTCACTACCGATGAACTATTCCCAACCTATACTTCCGCTTTTCGAATAAAAACAAGTAAATTATCGTGAACATGGCTTCCAAGGTCTGACGAACCATCGAAGAGTGGTTACACAGGCGAATAACAATTGATAGGGACCGATATAGTGCTTTGGAAGGCAGCAGCTGATAGGTTCGTCATTCGGTAAAAAGTGGAAATCTGGCACTTAGGCGGTTGATGTAGAATGTAAAGGGACCGGAGGTAGATGGTTACAAGGTTTGATATCGAGTGATAAGATGAGATAAGAAGTTATAGAAGACACGAGTCGCATACCCTACGGCGCCCTCTGTGTTGACAGTGGGACCATCGTAATTTGTTGGACAATGGGGCGTGTGAGTAGACTTCAGCTGGTTGGAAACAAAAATAACAACTGGTAGGAACTGATGGGGAACTCGAAAGACAAGAGCGCTAATTCGGTTACGCCCTTCGGGTCATTAGTGGAAACTTGTAACTGTGATGTATGAGTTGAGTGTGAAGGAACAGAGACGGTTTGTGAGAGAGACTAATAAGAAGAGATGGAGACCGATAGGAAAGTTAGGAGGCATGAGCCATTGGGTCTTCTGCATCCCTCGGATCATAGTGGACTCATAGCACCTTAGTGGGAGATGGAAAATGTGTCGGAATCGTTGATGGTTGGTGACACGAATCGATGACTGCTGACGAGGGCTAATAAGGAGAAAAGAGAGTACCGTCACCGCTAGAATATTTACGCCTTCGCATTAACTTTGCAGCTTTGACTCTTTGGTGGGTAAGTGGGTTGTGAAGGTGTCGCATGTGGTGGTGATAGGAACTGAAGACAACTGGTAAGGCTTAGTGATAGGGAGCAATAGAAGGTGAGAGTCAGTAGACCTGTTCCGCTCCTCGTCTCCCGAGCAGCCGTTGGCTCTCTAGTGATGTGGAATTTGATTGGATTACAGATAAAAGATGTCAGAATGCGATAATAGTTGACAAAAGCTTAAGAGGCATTCCAAGAGACGAAGACCTCGAGCCCCTTCACTTTTTACATACCATAATCTACTCTATAGTATAAGGCGGGATTATATTATAGAATGATTGGATCGAAAGTAACGTCCTACAATCCCATCTTATGGTCAGATATAACTGACCAACATGATTGGTTGACCGAAGCCGCGAATGATATTTACTAATGCTGACGAATGAAAGTGGCATCATCGTCAGAAGTCTGTAAATGTGGCCATTCTCATGTCGCGGATTTAGTCTCTTGACGAGAATCTCAGTTTCTGGTGGTCGAATAATTTTAACTGATGTCGAGACTTAGAGAAATGTGACCCTCCAGTGAGCCACAAATATCGATTTGCGTTGGGCCTAGCCTAACAATTCCGAATTGTTCTCCTTATGTGGTTTCGATTTTTATGAAACCTTGCAACTGCGATTTTCTTCATTGTCAACTGATCCGATCACTTCGTTTCCTCTTACAAATCGCTTAAGATGCCAGCGTTACATCGTTTGTTTGTGTGTGTTTGTCGGTGTGTATTGAGCGAAAATACACAACTCCTGCACCTGAAGTGTTCAAAATCTTATGCGATACATGGCAAAATGGGAACACTGGTGGGAGGTAATGAAAGTGATAATGATTGATAGGGACTGATAAGATGACTTAGAAAGCAATAACCACTAGGTCCGTTACACCCCTCATGCTAACAGGTGGAACCCTGGAGCTTTCTCAATTGATGTGGGGACCGTAAGAGGTTTGTGATAGGAAGGGATACAATTAAGAGCTCACATTCGATAGAGGGTGATAGTGAGCACTAAAGTGTAAGGGCCACTGAAACAGTCACGACTTTAGCACTAATTTTCAGGTCTTACCGATAGCAATTGACAGGGAGCTTTTTAAGGCAGGAGCCACCGAGTCCATTAGGTCCTCCGTGCTAACATTGAAAGCTTGACGCTTTGATGAGTGATGTGGGGAGTGAAGAGATTCTAGATGGTCAGCGACAGGGCTGAAAAGGATCCTCTGAAAACCAAAGGAGCTGGGTTGTTATACCTTTCATGTTACCTCTAGAAGCCCGGCAGTTTCGTTAATGAGGCAGGGTGAATAGGGATCGTAAATGGTTTGAGTCAGAGAATGATAGCTAGTAATAGAAGCTGATAAGTGAGGGCAATTCAAGGATGTGCCACCACTGACCCTGAAACTGCCTTCGTGTAACAGTTAAGGAGAAAAACATAGGATCTATCTGGGTCATGGAGGTTGGTGATAAAGGCTTATGATTTACATGAGCCGGGCAATAGCGAAGACGAAGTTTGGTAGGGCTAAGGCTCTGAATGGAATATCATTCGAGGCATAGAAGACGCCCAAAGAGCAGGGATTGGGTTCTTATCCCATAAATGGGAGTAATATTTGCTAAAGTAAGAATAGATAATGCATGAAGAAGCAGCACTATCGTCGGGCAACAACATGTACAAGAGAGCGGAAAGGCTTCGCATAACAGGTGACATTACACCTCCAGATTACTCGATGAAAAATAGGTGAGCATCGCATGACGCTTTACTTAATGATCAGCGCTATGCATTCTCTCACCCTGGAGGCGTAGAAAAAAGCTCCTTGTTCTTTTGTAGTAGATTCGCTTTTCTGGAAGTAAGTTCATTAAAGGAAACAGCAGAGTAAAGTAATAATTTCCATTATGGCCTCATTGTGCTTTATTTTGCCACATTAAAAAATAACAGCGAACATAATAAGTACGTGTATTGGTACCCGACAGAAATACATTGTGGCTTGCATGGTCATTCTTGATTATTATGGCAAGCTGCTTCATTAAACAGATGTGAACATGACATCTAATCCGCTTTCGTGTTGCTCTTTCACCTCATTGGCTCAGGAACACTTTTTGGCCGAGGGCGCTCATGCGCCAGCTGAACTGATCTCCATGGAAGCCATTGTTGGTAGCTCTTCTCATTGACACCCCTTCCCTTCCGACGACTGGCAGCAGCAGCAATGACAGAATCTGATGGCGTGCGCAGGAGGAAGGATAGTCTTTCCGTGAGTAATTTCCGTTTCCTGTGCTCTTCAGCGGCACCAGTGAAATCTTATTTCTTCTATTTCACCTTGTATCTTCTGTTATATAAAACCTAGTATATCTTTACTTTAGCAGTGCGATGTTTGGGTCGAATCATGAATGTTAACGAGCACTAACTTTACACAATCTAAATTGCTGGTACTGACTACAACGGAACTGGTCTGACGAAAATACTGAAAGTGCTTTGTCAGAGATTTAAGTCCCTACTTTTTCGGCCTCCAGCCAGTTTTTCTGGAGTAAACCTTTTATGTGCCTCATTTACAGTTACAGTGTCAGAGCTGAAACAAATAGTTTTAAAAAACCAACTCACGAACAATCTATAAGAGGCAGGGAAACAGACCCGTTACTCATCGTGTCGAAAGGTCCGGTCATTGTAAAAATAGGAGTGCAGTTACGGAACCGACTTATTAAGCAGCTTAAATAAGGCGATGCGTGGTTGAGCAGAATATTACTAGCTTACCCATTAACCACAGTGATCGAAGGAGAATATGGTATTTCGAAGAAAAAACAGTCTGGGTGATGCATAAAGTTTCAGGACGAATACGATTCCGATGACTCGCAACTCAAAGAGAAGGAAATGGACGGCATTGTTGAAGACATTGAAAAAGAAAATGTTGGGGAGCAAGCTCCAGTCACCAAATGGAGGTTTGTTTGCCAGTATTTGTGATATTTGGGGTTTGTTTTTCGATAGAGTAAGCATAATATGGAGCGGATTACCGAAACTTATATTTACGAAGTCACTGAGGTGTTTCTGATGAACGACAAAACCCAGTGATGGGAAATGACCTTTTAAATAAGCTTTAGAGCCTGAGCTTTGTGTCAGTAAAGAATTACAAATCTCCAAACTCAGATTGAGGGAAGTTGTTAGGTTTTCTACTAAATGGGTTTATTGCCCATTAACTTTCTCAAAGAAAACTTGGCCAAGTTCTATTCCTCAGCCCAATACCCTTAGAACATAATACGTCTCTCCAACGACCCCTAATTGTAATACTATGAGTTACATCAAGAAATCCAGTAAGACAACATCCCAAATACGAGAGAGAATCTTCCATGATTCTTTCCAGGGTCTAAAATGATGACCGTTGATGCTTTGGCGAAGAGTATTAGTTTGATGGCTGAGTGCTCTTGGCAAAAGTGGAAATACCTGATAAATGGGAATGAATAGACGTTCGATTCCTTCTTGCGAGGAATTGAAAAGGGATGAAATGCATCTAAAACACGCATCCAAATAGGCTGTGGAAAGTTGTGCGCCATAGTTCCCCACCGCTCAACAATTTATAATTTATTCAAAATTTACATATAATATCTGAATACCAGTCGGGCTGCCCGGCTAACGCCGGGCTTCCCTCCTTCTTATAGTGTCGCCCGGCTTCGCCGGGCGCTTTCCCTTCCTGTAAGAAATTTGCTATGCGTAAATAACACTTCGGATTCTCCTTTTTCTTTGGAAGCTATACCCTTGCTCTTCATCTCGAAATTGTGTCACATTGATGGCTTAACTGATTGACAACCAATGTCTTAATGATACCCAGAAATGGATAATAACGCCTATCACAGATATCGTTATCAATGGAACATTTTCCCCACGGATTTTTCATTAATTGGGAATCCCAAATCATAAGTGGTCAGATGAGTTCAGTCACAAATGATATACCACAAAACAAAAAAGAATCGTGGTACTTCATTGTGTCATAAAGCTTACTGCGTAACAGTCGTAAATTAATAGCATGAAATTAACAAAATTTTCATTTCGTTATATAGAAATGTCTTTGATCGGTCGCTACTACAGCATAAACAGCATTAAAGAGTCATGTTAAAGAGTTAATCATGAAGAGCCTTTTGCTCTCTAAACCCCTTATCAGTTCTTATCAGTTGTTATCAGTTCCTGTCACAGAGTACCAACGACAACGTCACATCCTACATTGCCGACTTTGAAAGGGTTCCACTGTTGACACGAAGGGGATTGCAACGCTTGCTCGCTTGTTATTATCTGTCCTTATCACTAATTAACTTCGGTCCCTTCACATCCTGCACTATCTACTGGAATGCTCAGTTGTTAGTATGAAAGACGTTGTAGACTTATTGGCTCTCGCCCCCTATCAGTTTCTATCAGTCTGTAACAGTTTTCCGAAGTGCCAAAGCTCTGCCGTTAACAGGAAGTAAGTAACGGTTCCTGTGGCTCTCGCCTTTCAAGGCTCTTCATCAACTCCTTTTAAATGTTATCACCATCAGTGTTCCTATCCTGCTTCCTGTACTCCTACCAAATTTCAACGCTCTAGGTCCACGTAAACAGTAGTTATGAATTTACGGCCCAAAATTTCTATCGCGCACGCCCCGTCCCCTGTGGGCGGAGTCCGGTCTTGCCACCTGCCATAAGTGTTCCCATGTTGCCCCCTGTACTGCTACCGAATTTGAGCTTTCTAGGTCCACGGGAACAGGAGTTATGAATTTCCGGTCAAACACACACACCGACACACACACCNACACACACACCGACACACCAACAGACACAGCGAATTATACAAAGTGGGATACTATGCAGATGTGAAATAAAGCGTAAATTCTTACAAAATCAGTCCGAAACTTTCCCTGTTTTCAGTAAAGCACGCGATGCGATTCGCGATTGGGGAGAGTCGTCGTCTTGCCATGGAATTCCACACATGGCACAGGCTTCAACGGTAAGACTATTTGATTACAGTTTTTATCCATAAATTTTGTATGGTAGTTGGTATGGGCGACAGTTTGATGAGTTAGAGACCGAATGGCGATTGCGTCCCCTGCAGTTAAAATAACTTATTGTCAAAGTATGTGAACGATTTAGTCTATTTTATTTTGAACCCCAACAATTATTTCTTAATTGAAATGTTGCATTTGTAGCAAACGACTACAGTTCCGAATACAGTGAGGACATCAAAAGAAATAGAATGAGCAGGACTGCTGAATAACTCGGAATGTATTCGAGTACTTCATAGGATTTATTTGCACATTAACTAACCTATAGTAGTGCTTTGCTTTTTATAGGGAAACGGGCAGTAGGATCGGTTTTGTGTAATCGATTTGCCGGCAGTGCATTACATGAGCGGATTTGACTAATGATGTTGTCTTGATAAACGTAGTAGACAGTATCAATCGTCTGTTGATCCGCAACAGACTCTATGATCGTGCATACGCGACAGATAACTGCGTTGTTGGTCCGTTCGGAAGCAGTTTATATTGTACACAGCGAGAGACGGTATACCAACTTCACTGTTCAGCCTGTGACGAAATGTATATTGATGAGACGGGAAGGATGCTGGGCATACGCGTTAAAGAACATCTAGCAAGGAAAAGGAAAGCTCTACTCACGATACTTGGCAGGCACCGACTAGAAGAGCATCAAGGCAAAGATTTTGATAACAAATGCGAAATCCTAGACTACGAGAATGAGATCGGTGCCAGAAAGATGTTGGAAGCGCTGTACATCCGCGAGAGGAATCCTAAGTTGAACAACGGAAATAAGTGCATTGCCATAACGAGTGAAGTTCTGCCATTCATTCCCTTCTCTGGGCTTTGAGATCACCGCGTAATTCTTATCTCACGATCGTCGATGGTGTCTCATTAGTCCCTTATTGTTCACGGAATCGAGTGGGACGGCAATGCTGGTGAAACCGTAGGAGGTTGGTATGAAGATGTGTAGTATAGCCTCAGCCAAGATGGTACAGCACTTTATTCAGTCAACGTTTCGGCGTTACCGCCTTCGTCAGGACCTGGAAGCCAAAAAGAA